TCCCCAAAACATTACAACGGGCTAACTTCGATGTGCCCACGAAAACTACTTGCCGCTGTTTTTCGAGCAATCCCGCAAATACAACGTATCCTCACTTCGGCCCACGTCTCCGAATGGGATGCGGTAAAAAAAAAAAAAATAAAATAAAAAATATATCGGAACAGCGGGGCTGCCGGCGCCTCGTCAGCCCCGCGGATCGGGCCCGCCGCCGCGTCCGTAAACAAACTGAGGGGGATCGCCTCGCAGGCCCTCAAACCCTCAGGCTTTCGCCTTACGCTACTCCGCTGCTGCCGCGCCGACGCCCGCTGGCCTCGATTCCCGAACCTCCGTAGTGTCAGCCCAATGCCGTAACCTATAGGGTTATGCCCAAACCTAAGACCAGCACCCATAGGGTACCATACAAGGCAGTGCGGCGCGATGCTTTGGGCCAACAAACYGGCTGTGTGGCTCCCAGCGCCCGCGCCGGCTTGCTTATACCGTGTCATAATCRCCCCGCGCGCCATCCTACGATACCCTGCTTACCGTACGAAGCCTCGCCGTTGCTGCCAACGCCGTTGTAGGGGCGGCTCTCCGCACGCGCGCTCGACTCGGTCAAATGTACCAATCAAWARGRAAWWWYCYTWWWTTCYTGCTTAATCAAAAATAAATAAAATAATAAAATAAATGTCACCAAGCAGAATGACTRAGGTCCGGGTCGGCTTCAYGATCAACAACAGAAAAGAATCACGCGCKCCTTAAGCYTGCGCGCCCACGCACTCACTATTGYGGTCAACCAYCCWGTCAAAGCAATTACTGACGCAGTCGCGCTTAGCGCGGTATACTTAAACTCTAGACCAAAACTATTTTCTGTCACTTGCAAAAACCAGGGCGGATACCCTTGTAAGGGTATTCGCACCGACAACGTTGAGCCAGGCGCAGGCTAATTACGAAGCATGCAAAGGTGAATGCCTGGCGGTGGTGTGGGGGATTCAACACTTTCGATCGTATCTGTACGGCCAGAAATTCGTGCTGGTAATGGATCATCATCCGCTGTTGTCCCTACGCAACAACATGGACTACACGGGGAGGCTGGGCAGGTGGGCGGTGCATCTGCAAGACTATGACTTCGACATCCGCCATCGCGCCAAGCGGCAGCATGGTAACGCCGATGGATTAACGCGCCTTCTAGCGCCCAACAAGTGTCCCGCCAACGAGCGACTCATTCCGCGGAAGCCAGAAGTCGTGGCGACGAAACCACACTACGGGGAGCTACACGTGTTGCGTAAGGACGACGCCTGAGTCCGGAATGGAGGTTTCATCGGAGATGGCCGACACTATCTCTCAGCCCTCATCCCACTCCCTCGCTTTCTCGTCTAGCCCCAACTTGTCCTCTGAAACACACCTAAGTCCCTGTTTCTTTTGTACCTTGCCTATGATTCCGGACCAAGAAGGGTCACATCCGGGAGGGCCCAGTTTTCTTTTATGGGTACAATATAGTCAGTGTCATACGGTCAAGTCTCACGGACAGTGCGTTAGATACCGAAGTGAAAAGACGTGGGTCTGTCCCAACTGGAGAACGGACCAAGTCCCTACCGAGAAGCGGTATCTGGACGCTAGAAGAACCGACGGATTTGCGTCGAGTGCCCGCCGGGCAAAAGCCTGGACGGACCCTCTGTTGCTACGAGGACTGTCAGGCGACTCGCTGTCAGAACTTAACAAAGCCGAACGACGAAGAGTCACGGAGCGGGCGCAAGACTATCGCTGGCAGGGCCGGATGTTACAAAAACGGAAGGTGGATGACGACAGAGAGTCTAGCTGGTTGACGGTTCCACATCCTCTTGCTAGGTTTGATTGGACACGAGCCGCTCATGAGGAGGATGCGGTCCATTTCGCGGTCAAGTACATGGAAAAAGCCATCGAAAAGAACGGATGGTACTGGTCGGGAATTCGGGAAGATGTGAAATACATCGTTCAAAATTGCCCGGCCTGCGCGGCGGACAAGGCGCCGGTACAGATGCCTCGGATGATGGTGCCCACTCGTGTAGAGCGCCCCTTTCAGAGGGTTAGCATCTATACGACGGACATCAACGTTCCGAGAGGGCCCATCGATCAGGGAGAACTCAATGTTCTTTTCGTGGCTGTCGATCATTTTTCAAAATGGATCGAGGCGTGCCCTTTGACCAGCCGCAATTCGCAGGAAGTAGCCTGGTACGTAAATCGATTTTTATGCATGCATCTAGACGTAGAAGAGGTACACATGGACAATGGGTCGGAATTTCAGGGCGAAGTAGAACGACACCTAGTCAGGGCAGGCGTTAAGATTATCTAATCGCCGGGGCATTGACCTCAAGCCAACGGCCTGGTAGAAAATGCCAACCGACTAATTAAGACGACCCTTAGACGGAATATCACTGCGGGAGACACCTGACCCTGGCCGGTCATTGTCGATCACATTTTGGCCGTTTATCGGGCTACCCCACACGGTAGTACTGGGGTGTCCCCCTTTCAACTGAGAACCATTAGTGTCCCTCGGGTGCAATTGTCCCCCTTAGTAGGTACGGAAGTTAGAGCAACACGGGCCTAGAATCGAGACAAGGCCCGCCACTACCTAGACTTAATGGCTAGGGCCTATCCCCCATTAGCCCGCCGTCGACAGCGGGCCGTAGATCGGACGCATCAACGTCAGATCCGGGATTACGAGAACCGACACGCGTCGGCGGGACCACTGCCCCGCTATAAAGTTGGAGACTTGGTACAGGTACGGAAATCTGCGCGCTCCTCCAAGATCCACCCGTGCTACACAGGCATTTACGAGGTCACGGAAGTTGGTGCACAGGGACAGCACTCCGTAAAGATGATTCCCCGTCACAACTCCCAGGCCCGACCGCTGACACGGCACGCTGCCGCGCTCCGGCCCTTCCAACCATCGCTAGGTCCCCTACGGACCCCCGCTCTTGCGCGATCACCTTCTCCTTCTTCATCCTCCTCCTCTTCTCGATTTGCCTCGTCCATTAATGCTAAGAGTGTCGGGGAGCAGGATGAACCATCGCCATCCGGAGCATGAGCCCCTCGAGCACTTCCAAACGCCGCTTGCAGATCGCTTGTTGCGGCATCGATTTACTGAGGAGAGGCAGTTGCGGTACGACGTCCAACAGGTGAACGTGCCAGCGCCCGGGGTTGCTGACTTGGCGGCATACTCGTTGCTTTGCGATCGGCTGACGTATGCGGGGGTGTACGAGGACGTGACGCAGTTGCCCGACCGGGAGACGACCCGAGTATTCATTGAGTTCCGTGCGCTCCAGGTGGCACCCAATTTCGTGCACAGCGTCGCCACCTTCATCGGAGACTTGACGATCCTCCCGCAGGAGAATCGGGAGCCGGCGCACAGCTTTGTGCGCGAGTACGCGGTAGAAGCGGTCAGATCAGTGGCCAGAGTGCAAGGACGGAGCGGGCACCGATTCACAACCCACGAAGTCCTGCTGCGTAGGGCCGAGGACGGGCCGATTGCGCTGATGCCGCAGCTCCCCGCGCTTCTCCCTCCTGCTGCTCCTCTTAATCTCCAAGTTATTCCCCCTGTCCCGTACTAAATGCCTCCTTTCTTCTCCTAGCCACCCTCCCCTACCAGCTAACGGCGGGCCCTTACCCCATGCGCGAGTTCTCGGAGTACCTGGTGGAGCTAACTGACGTGGAGCCGCTGCCCTTCGCCGACGAGGACGCGTGGGAGTTGCACCGTGCGCTGTACAAGTCGGTGGCGCTGGGGATGTTCCGGTTCTTCGTGGATCACGAAGACCACACTACCGGTGAGCACTTCGTCGTTTACTACGTCATCACGCGACCCAAGCCAGCGGAGAAGGAAGGGACGGTAGCGCTGTACCCATTCGCCCAGCTCCAGACAATCGATCCGGGATTTTTGAAGCTCATACATCTTGAGCTCCTCTCCATCGCGCAAGTGATCGCGAGCGAGGAGGAGGAGATCCAACTACGATTGCGGACGGCGATGGCCCCGCGGAGAACGTACAACGAGGTCGTCATCCCGGATTACATTGCGCAGCGGTCGGAGAGATTGGAGGACTTCCCGAAGGAAAGGCCGTTGCGTCCTCCCTCATCGTACTCTCGGCCAGCGCCACTAAAGGCCCCCAAGAAGACGCCGAAGAGAAAGAGACGCCACCCGTCGCCAGAAGCGCAAGGCAGCAGGATCGGCGGCGGCGAGGAGGTGATTCAGCCCGCGCGCGCGGCGACGCTCGTTAAGGAGACTATCGTGCCATCGCCGCCCATTCCGCGTGTGCCCGACCTCAATCCTGATGGAGACGGGCCATCATCAACAGCAGCAGCCCGAGGAGGAAGCCGAATGGGATTTCCGGATCCCATATCCAGACCCCCCGTCCTCGCGGGACCTCTCCGTTCCCGCCAACCACCCCGGGATGCCCCGGTTATTGACCTTAGTAGTTCATCCGAGCCGAACCGTCCATCCGACCGAGGTGGACTTCATGGTGGAGCCCGCCACCATTAGGCTAAAGGCCATCGCGGGGGTGCCGCGCCCTGATCCGACGTGGGAGCCATATCTGACACCCCCTTTTCAAGGGTGTATTGCGGCGCGATTGGCCGGGACGCTCATCTACGAAACTGGGCAGCGTCCCAATGCTGTGTACCACTTCCTGGTCTTCGTGGCGCAGAAGCAGGAGCGGCGGCCTTATACGGAGACACATGTGGTGATGACAGGTCGAGGGCCCCGATCGGTGCGCAAGCAGGTGGTGCGGGCGGTGGCGGATCTGGTGCCACGTGTCCTCTCTCATGTGGCGGGGGCTTTCCTTTACCCCTCCTTCGTCCAACATCATTTCTGTGAGGAAGATGCGCCGACGACTCTTGCGGCAACGACCGTCTTTTTTCCACGTATTCCGCCCCCTCTCAATCCCGACATAAATCACTTCATCTGATCAACTTCGTCTACCTCTCCCCCTTCCTCTCCTTCTCCTTCTCTTCTTCTTCCTCTTCTCTTCTGGATCTTAAGCTCGCACGACAATACGCGCTGTATATACAAAAAATAATAATAATAATAATAATAATAATAATAATAATAATAATAATTAAAAAATAAAAATAAATAAATAAAAATTCTCGATCGGGCCAGCTGACGATGAAGGGGTCGCCCGATCGAATGTACACTATGGGAGGAGGCGAAGAAAGATGAGGGATGCATCCACGTAGATTAGGAGGATAATCGGGCCAGCTGACGATGAAGTGGCCGCCCGATCATCCAAGATATGATGACGTCAGCAGTCAGGAGACTGCTAATTTTTCGGAACCCCCTGCGTATCACAGATGTGATAAGCTCAGACCCGTACCGCGCGGCTTGCCGTATCCTTCAGGGAAAACCCCGCGGAAGCCCCGAAGTACGGACGCAGATAGAAAGGGGGGGTTCTTTCTTTTTGCTTTTGTTTTCTTTTTGAAACGGCATTTTTCATTTTGTTTGGTTAATAACTCCCGCGGGCGAATAGCGGCCGCGGTATGAAATCAAGAAACGGGTGCGGTTGGGACTTTTTGAATTTTTGCGCGCACGCCCAAACTCCGATTTCTTCGCGCGTCTTGCATCCCCGTTTCTTAACTTGCATCTGCGCGCCATCTTCCCTTTTTGCTGCGCACGTTTTCCCCATGCCGGACTCTTCGTCTTCCCCTACGCCCCTCTTGATCCTTACCCTGTCTTCCTCCGCGAAGTGATTGGCTGCGTAGTTGGGATGCTCGGATCAGTGTGGAAAGCGGGAAACCGCACACCACTTAAACGAACACCCCAATCACGTAGCCATGCAATCCCGCGGGTCGAACCCTCTAACTCCCCACCTCTCTCTCCTGTCCTGCTCATCTACACCCTGCGCTGACCGCACCTCGCGCTATTAACCCGCTGCCTCCCACGCTATAAATTTGCTCAACCCTCTCCTCTCCTTCTCTTTGATCTCAGCTGCAATGCTGCGCGAGCTATGCGCAAGAGTCCGAGGTGCCGAATAGGCTCGACGAGCCCAAGGACGGGCGGAGTGACGATATGGGGTGGACCCCGCGGTAGTCTCGGGGCGAAGCAGTCGGAGGGACTGAGCAGTGGTGGGGATTGGACGCCGGCCGCGGCCGGCCTTGTGGCTAGGGTGGTCGGTGGTCTTGGGGAGTTTTGAAGGCTGCACCTAGGGGCGGCAGTTAATTAAATTTTTTGTGTACAAGAAGGACTCGCTTCTATCTCCATTGCTTCTTTGTCTATGCATGTCGTGTGTGTGGAGCCCCTAGTGAAGGGTGCTGGTTATGCGCATGAGCGACGTCAAAGGTCCATGGATGATTAGATGTCCTGTCAAGGGCTGCTGATTGCGTGCATGTATGCGTGTATGTACTTGTCCGGGCGGGGATGAGGAAACTGAACTAGGGGACCGTCTGCTTAGGAGTATGAGTGTGTTGATCCGGTTGTTCCCCTCCCCTCCGTGGTCTTTCCTGCGCTCTCGCGCGGTCTCGGCGTAATTCACTCTCTCACTCTCTCTCTCCYTTTTTCCCTTMCTYGATCGCCTWCCTCGGAACTGAMAGTCATCGCTTTTAGAGCTTATCGTCCCCGTACCGGTGACGTCGACCGCCTGCGTCCGCGCGGACGGTCGACGCCCCCGCCAAGGGGAGAAAGCTTGGATTTCGTCATCTTCCCCCTACGCACCCCCTTTTTTGAGAGAGAAAAGTTGCGACAATTGTTGTGTGGATTCGGTGTTGGCTCGGATGACCGGGAACGAGGGATCTTGCCCGTGTTCATCACGTACCTCCGATCGTCTCATTTCGCTACCGACCTTCCCCATCACAGATGACGACAGCGTCTACTGCGATGCGGACGTACGGCGCACGCTGAGGCGGATGGAGCAAGTGTGTTGGCAAGACCCGCTGTGGGCCTGTGGGATAAGGGGGAACGGGTTTGTGTTGATTGATCGCTTTGATTCCCCGACTCTGATATTGCCTTATACGGGCTTAACGGTGTTGCCCTGGTCGGCCGCTCACGACGCGTGGCGACCGCAGTTTGATTGTCGCTGGTGTCGCCAGGGGGACTCGTGCTCGTGGCGACGACTGGTCCTAGGTTTCGAGGGAGCGACACGTTTCCCCGAACTTTCCTGTAGTGTGGGGGCGCTGCCCACGCAATTTCGAATTCAGATGCCGGCGAGTGCTCCCGCCGCTTTACCCTCCCGGAAACTTTCGCGCGAACTCTATGAGTCCGACGCCGAGGCTTGATGGCCTCGAACCAACCACCTCTACAGCAAAAGACCCGAGGGTTCAGACACTTTGTGAAGTCGATGATGAGGCCTGAAGGCTTCGAACCCACCACCTATCCCCCAAACCCCTGACGGTCGAAGTTTTGTCTGGCATCTTCGATGGGCTGGCATCCTTCCGCTCAGCCCACATCTAGGCCTGGACCACAAAACATGCGGGATAATACTTACTAAGCGAAAAAGACCGGATCAAGGACCCGGTTTTTCAAGTTAAATACCTCACTTCTACTCGACCACCTGTTCAAACAGATGATCCAGTACAAGTGGCCGTTCTGGCGCCAACAGAAAGGTCATTTTGACTCGTTCTCTACGTGGTTCAACAATGGTCTGATCTTCCTAGCTAAGAAATGCAAAGATTTCTCTAAAGCAAAAGCGACTCTAAGACACCAACAAGAATTTACTATTCATCATAAACTGCTAAGCCTGGAACACCAGACAGATTCACATCTTCTCATCGTACACATCCAGGAAGTGAAGGTCAAACTTCTTCAATATGCACAACATAGATGGCAGGGCATCAAAATACGAGGGAAATGTCAAAGTTCACTCAGGAAGCCACAATGGATACCCATTTCATTAGCATGGCGACTGTCCGCGCGAGCTCTACGATAATTGAGGCATTGTACGACCCGGACAGAGGGGACAAAATCATAGCACTGAATAGTGCACACTGCACCCTAATCACACGTAGTTTTTTCAAACAACTCTATAAATCCCAAGTCTCGGTCCCGCGGGGAAAGGCATAGACGTGAGACCTGGAAAAATTCCTAGCGCCCATGGACAAACGTCTCTCCCCCATGCAGCAGGAGTACCTGGAACGTCCCCTGACAAAGGAGGTGATATGGGCAACACTCCTTCAGATGAGAGAAGAAAAAACACCAGGCATAGATGGTTTCCGTAAAGAGTTTTGGGAAACATTGTGCTCATAATTGAGCACGGACCTTTGGGCGTTCTATCAGCAAGTCTGGGAGGACGAGGAAATGGGGGAAGTAGTGGGGAAAAGAGTGCTGACTCTGCTGTATAAAAAAGGGGATAAAATGAACATCAGGAATTATAGACCAATTACTCTCCTTAAAGTCGTTTACAAAATCGTCTCCAAAGCCTTGGCAAACCGTATGGCGGAGATCCTTACAGATGTGATCCACCCAACTCAGACGGTATTCATGGCTGGTCGGAACATACAAGAGAATATCCTGTTGATAAATGAAATTGTCTATCTAGGCGACGAAACCAGGCAAATGCTGCGATCGTCTTCATTGATTTTGAGAAGGCATACGATCACATTCATTGGATCTTTCTAGATAAATGTTTGGAAAAAATGAACTTCGGGTTGACTTTTAGACGATGGGTATGCATCCTACACAAAGACGTCACCACCTGTGTACAGGTAAATGGATCGGTGACACCTCCCTTTGAGCTCCAGCGATCAGTAAGGCAAGGAGACCCCATCGCCCCTTATTTCTTCCTGGTTATCATGGAGGCCCTTTCGACTAACTTAAGACACAACAAGATCTAACCCGAATCAGGATTCCCAACATCCCGGAGGAAGCGGTTCCCATGTGTTGCCTGTTTGCAGACGATCTTACTATTATGGTTGAAGCCAATGCACAAAACATGGAAGAGATTTAGGCCCTCATGAACCGCTTCGGTCGCGTGTCAGACATGACGGTCAATTGGGGGCAAAAAATTGTGGGCTGGTGGCTGCACCGTCAGGGGGGCAGACCGCCAGAAAACGCGTGCATCATTTGGCTTCCCCCGGATGGCCTCCTCAGAATCTTAGGAGCGTCGCTCACAGCAAAAGGGAAACCCGTCACGAATGATGTATGGCTGATTAGACCGGCACAGGCCAAGCTGCTGCGATGGAATCCCAAACACACTTCAAATTTTGGGCGGGCTCTTGTTATAAATAATGTCGTGTTTGCCATTCTCTGGTATCGAACCATTCTTTGGCCCATAAGCAAAGGTGGGCTTAAGACGCTCAAGCAACAGTTGGCGGCTTTCCTATGGAGAGGGGACAATAGTAATACCCATGTCATCAGTCGGGTGGCATGGGACTCGGTGGTTCAGCCTAAGGTAGGGGGAGGGCTTGGAATAGTGGACCCTCCCACACAGTTTCAGGCCCTGAGCGTCCACTGGATCCAACATATTATCTTTGAAACCTCCTCCCCCTGGGTTCCCCTGGCGCTAACGCAAATCGTGGCCTTGGCCCAGGAAGCCCCGCCAGAAATAGACCCTCTCGAATGGCTCGAGGACAGATACTGGAGACTCCCCAGGAAATACACGAATGGTGACCCAGTGGACGAACACTGGATACGCCTTCTGCGCACGTGGAGGAGAC